AAATAAACTGGCCGGCCGGCCCAGTGGCGCACTGGATGGTGTGCCGCTTGGGAAGCGCGGCGGCGCTCCCGTCCGAGGGTTCGGATCCCACATACAGACCGGCTCCCGCTCACTGGCTGAGCGAGGCGCGGGAGCAACGCCGAGGCTTGCGATCCCGTTGCCAGTCCCCGGTCCGGTACGGGGGCAACACTGAGGGTTGCGATCCGTTGCCAGACACGGAAAAAAGACAAAAAAAAAAAAGAATAAAGAAAAAAGAAAATAAACTGGCCGGCCGGCCCAGTGGCGCACTGGATGGTGTGCCGCTTGGGAAGCGCGGCGGCGCTCCCGTCCGAGGGTTCGGATCCCACATACAGACCGGCTCCCGCTCACTGGCTGAGCGAGGCGCGGGAGCAACGCCGAGGCTTGCGATCCCGTTGCCAGTCCCCGGTCCGGTACGGGGGCAACACTGAGGGTTGCGATCCGTTGCCGGACACGGAAAAAAGACAAAAAAAAAAAAAAAAAAAAAAAAAAAGAAAAAAGAAAAAAGAAAATAAACTGGCCAGTCAAGCAATTGAAATTGAAATCTTTTCCATTGGCATATGTGTTAGTCATATTGGCATATACGTAGTGAGTTATAATTAACTCCATTGTAATATAACTCCATTATAAATAACTTCCATTTGCATATACTTAGTGAGTTATAATTAAATTTACTTTTAGCTAATACAGGTAAAATCCTTTCCTAAAGAACTTTGAATGATTTGGTTATATTAAGTTTGTCCAAAATTTTAAAAAATCCACGTTGGTTGGTTGCAGTTTCGTAAAAGTATTGATCCACATGGATGAGAAGTAGAAAGCATTACAGAGAAATGGTTAAAGTGATGATATGATTCTTTTTTTCTATTTTCTATATATTTTAATATTATGAGTCTTCTGAGAAACTCATCTCTCTCTAGAAATCACATTCATTACAGTTGGCCTAGCTTCTGCAGTGAATTAGTAAGTTAATAGAAATGCTTTGAACAAGTAACAGAAGGGAGCTACTACTAACCACCCACAGTTCTTTCCTCCTTCTGTTTGGTGGGTGGTTTGAGGATTTGTTTTCCTTAGACTATTTGTTATGTTTAGGACTTTGTTTTGTTAGGTTATTTGAGAGGGGAAAGACTCATGGACATTTTGGCAAATGGCAGCCAGCTGCCTTGGAAAATGAGACACATATTGGAGGAAAGAGGGATATGTGAAGGGGAAAGAGGCCCTTTTAAAAAATTTTACATAAAAAACAAATTTATAGTTAGCCTCTGTTCATGTTATTTCTACACAATAGCTTGCAAGAGTCTTTTAACTTCTAAAGAGACATAAAATGGTCAAAACGATACAATCTGTATCATTAGATGACCCTTGTTACCATGTGTATAGTTCGGAGACATTAGGAAAGGAAGTACTCAATTTAATGGAAAACCTGAGTTTCATCTCTTGCATACCACTGTAGTTTGCACAGTCTTTCGCATTATCTGTTATATAACAAATTCCTCCAAACTTACCCCAAAACTTAACAGCTTAAAACAACAAATATTTATTATCTCAGTTTCTGTAAGTCAGAAATTCAGGAATGCCTTAGCTGGGTGGTTCTGGCTCTGGATCTCTCGTGTGGTTGCTGTCAGGATGTGGTGGCTCACTCACATGACTGTTGGCAGGAGGTCTTGTTATGTGGGCCTCTCCTTGAGACCTGGCAGCTAACTTCCCTCAAAGGGATCCAAGTGAGAGAGAGAGTAAGGAGCTTTCTATGATCTATCTACCCTGCAGTGACCAGTAAGGGGATCGCAACCCTCAGCACTGTGTGGTCCCTGTATAGGATCCGAACCTGCGGCCTCGGCGCTACCAGTGCCACACTCTCCCGAGTGGGCCACAGGGCCGGCCCATATATAACTTCATTTCTACTTTATTCTGTTCATTAGAAGCCAGTCACTAAATGTTCCACGGGCAAACAGTTAAGCTCTACCTTTTGAAGGGAGGAATATGAAAGTTTTCTAAATATATTTTAAAAGGCCTTATAGATTATCTTTTGCACACAGAAGACGGTGCCAAAGATCAAGGGCTGAGAGTGGAGTAGGGGGTTAATTCGCCATATGATAAATATTGATGAAAGGTAAAGGAACTTTCCAGAATTTAGTAGTGAATTCAACTTCCTGAGTTCTGTCATTATTAATCTCAGAGAAAAGAAATATCATAGCTTATCATTTTAAGAACAATTTCAAAAATTCTAATATGAATATAGATGTTCCAGAGGAGAATAATAGCTGAGTGATGCTTAGAGAACCAAGAAATTGTTGCATATTATTACTAATTCTTTTTTTATAACCAGTTTTAGAAATTGAAAGTATTCGAAGATAGGAAAGCAAATAACACAAAAATGCATACATTTATTCTTAACAAAGACTATTCATCTCTTGTTTGCAGAACACCATTGTCAGACATAGTAACCTATGTCCATGATAGCAGTTAATATTTAAATAACAAATTTTGCATTTAAATGTAATTATAATTATCATTGTTTAACTCACTTTTTACAAAACCAGGATTGTAATATACTGCGTCATTTTTAATCTCAGAAATGAGATTTTTTACAATATTTGCTTCTGGGAGGTGGTTCAGTTGCTAAACTAAAACTAAATACTGATTACATTTCTGGGGTTTGACAGAAATTGTTTGCCCTTTCTATCCCACTTTTTGTTTTTGTGGGGAGTTATACAAAATTCTAGAGTGTTTTGGTGCAA